CACTTAAGATATTTCATCTTATTAGCGCGTGTAGCGGACCCCTTTCGGCTACTTGCGAACAGCCACGTGACTCCTTCCTCCTGTGCATACGAAATAACGATTGCAATGGTCAAGGTTGCATCATCTATCAAATTACCAAATGTTCTGATGTAAATTCAATTAATTGATTGCCCACAATCGGATTTCAGATTAACCTTGGTCTAGCTTCCATTCCATTATTAGCGTACTTAAAACACCTTCCAAGTATTGAAGTTTGGCTACGCTACAAGGATTTCCATCTGTTCTCCTTCGCAGCGCCCTGTTGCTGTTAGCGGCATACGCTAAACAGAAAAACAGAAACGATTTTGCCGCTTCTTGACATATTTACATCGGAATTAGCGATGTTTTTAGGTTGCTATTGGATTTGGTATGCAGCAAACGTCCAGCCAACGGGTTTCCTTTAACGGAACTCAGAAAGGGTTTGTTTTGTCCAGAATCATTGTGACTTCCCATGGCCGATCACCGTTAGGCCTAAGGGGTTATTCAGCAATGAATGAATCAACATGAGGACTGTGGGAATTAAATTTATGCTTATATAGACTGAATGATACACTTAGGTGAATAGGAATCTATAGACGGGCAGCTAAACGTCAGTATGTAAGGGGTTTCTTACAAAGATTAACTCCAAGTCTAAATACAGAAGAAGTTGAGGTGCGCGAAGGAATAGTTGTATTCTAGTCATCTATGAGCGATCTATTTCACAAACATGATGTGAACCATAACGTCATGTCTCAGTCTGAAGTTTTACCGAGCCTGTGATTGATGGTGATTGTGATTTTCATATTGATCATGATTTTGATTGTGATGTGATTTGATGGTGATTTTGATTGTGGTGCAAATGATTGTGGCGAGAAATAACAAATTGAATGAAAGTCTTGTGAAAGTTCAATGTGCGTTTATGAGTTAATTCAGTGGGTGTAGTAAGAGTCTTTAATATCCTGACAGATTCCTTGGGTTGCTCTTTTCTTGGTTATACAAGAGAACGTAGGTTTGTCAATGAATGGAACCATAGAGAGGCGTCGTTGTCAACCAGTAGTTTGGTTTTGCCTTATGGTCTTATCAGTCAATAGCAACAGGTTTCCCATCACTTCAGACAATTTAAAACTCATTATAAATCGCCTCTAGAATTTACATATACTCATATTATCTTTTCATTCGTAGAGGTCGCAGCATTGAGAAAGAGTCAAAGATGAAAGCGCCAACTACTCAAGGTGTTTCTTGTAAAGTCATGCTTATTTTCATGCTATTTGAAATAATTGGGTTGGATTGTCGACCATTTATGTTCCCGGATTCACGTCCAATGCTACCAGGCCCTGACGTACTGGAATCGAAGGTGACGATCAGTGACGTAAACAAGATTTTCGAGATGGTAAAGGGCTGGCATGATCCTGAGGCAAAAGACGTGAATAAAACCGATTTACTTATGAAATTGGGGAAGAACTATGATTCCTTTTACATGTCAATAGACCCACCAAAGAGCAGCAGACGGAATAATGGGGTTGGTCTTTCAATGCGCTCCACTCTAATCCGAAGACAAGATGCAGCCTTTGCGAAAATGCCCTGGCACATACGTCAACTTCAGTTCGAGGTTAAGCGAAGCAGTAAAAAGCGCGGGAGAGTTCTTGGCTACCGTGCCAGCAGCAAGCTCAGGCAGTGGCTCTGGGAACTTTCACGGTGTCCAATTAATTATTCTTGGGTTGACTACGGACCTAAATTCTTTCCAAGACACATCAGATTTGGCGAGTGTATTGAAAAGGCTTGCTCCTTTCCAAAGGGTATGACATGTCGACCCAGAAGTACGAGAACCCTAAGTCTCCTTTTATGGGTATGTTTATCTAAGAGTAACTGCAAATGGCGGCCATTTTCGTTACAAATGCACAAGTCATGCGAGTGTGGTTGCCATCAAGGCTGAACTGGCTAAGTCTGATGCCATCCCAAGCTGAATTGGAGCTGAGTAGCCCTTCTCGCAAGGTGCTGTAGGCTGTCAGTCAATACCACAAGTCGTGAATGTCTCTAAGCAAACGCAGCTTGTGAGAATCGTTTGCAATCGGATGCTAGACATTCAGAGACGAGCTTGTGTAAATGATATAATACAGATTCCAACGCTGTGAGCAGCATCAAATTACAGGACAGAAAGGTTGTGAATTATTTATGACGAAAATATTCGTAAGTAGCGATGGGACCCACTTGAGTACTAGGTACATCAGTACAAATACGAATTCTGTATAAATGGAAGTAAATGTATTGAAACGCTTATCATTTAAATATGGAAGTAAGTAATTTTGGGATTGAAACTGTGCGAAAATATATAACTTAATGCTTTGCTTTAGAATTTATTTCCACCAGTTTTGCTCAAAAGCTAATTATTTCAAAACTCCTTGATTTAAAGATATCGTAAAAAGTCAACATCTTACGATTCTGTTCCCGGACTACAAGAAAATTGTCCATCCTCAGCCTTGGCTTGAAATCAAATGAAATCAACATGTCATGAAAAACAATACTGTACAGAAATACTTACGTTCTTGGAGTCGTTAGCCTTTGTTTGAAAGACCCACCATTTCCAATTCCTCGTAAAGCTCCTCCTTATCCCCAAAACAAGTTATAAATGTTTTTCAAATTCAACTAAAGACAGCCATGATCTCTTCCCCTGAGTAACCTCTTCTTCAGCATGGCCATTATTAATGCTTACCGCAAATTGCTAAGGTAATTTTTAGCATCTCAGTTAAAACGTAGTTTGAGATTTACGCAGTGTGGGGGATATTCTGCTTAATCCTAGCATTGCAGGTTTTTCCTTTTGTAAACATATATGGTCGGGAAGAATTGGGAATCGTACTTTCTTTGGGGTGTATTTCGGGGCGGGGGTTGTTATAAAAAGGAGATTCTAGCATCTTAAAATAATGGAGAATATTAAAAAGGGTTGCCTTTTGTCATGAGATAGAGAGGCTCAGCCCCTTATGCTCTCTGGATCTACACCCCATTACTTAAAATTTGGTTACATTTATTTCAGTTGAATTTGTGCACCATTGGAAACATTATTTGGGGACTCTGCATCGAGTAAGAACATCATGTATAATTTCAAGTGGAAAAATATGCCACTTGGGTTAAATTAATTGTAATTTATTGTTTATCTTCAAAAAAGGCCTATGCTGAAAGAATTAGACTTGGAATCTTTCTCAGTTTCTTTCCCGTTGTGGAAATAGCGACTCATTATTTGGAAATGTATTTTATTCGTCCATATATAAATATATATAAAATTAAACAGTAGCGAGGTAATATATTACCAAGGTAAGGATATTAATTCATACATCACTCAACTATAACTACAAGCATATTCTACTCGCCTCTTTTTTGTGGACTTTTTCTTTGAACGTAACTTTAGTTAGGGATTTGGGTGTTCAGAGATCTGCCAAGACAGTGGAATTGAAAACGCTTTAAATTTTGATGGACCTGCTTAAGTGTGCAGTATTTACAGAAAACTGAGATGGTTAAAAAGACATTTTGGAGAGTTACAATGTTGTGTAGGAGATGTTTTATGACTTACAAAACGCACCCCCAGTGCTTTGTCACAGATTTACACAGAGATTCAAAAAAGCAAGACATAAGTACTGTTTCATCTGACAATTTCCTCAAGATCCAAAAAAAAAGAATAAAAACTGAAAAAAAATCCTGTAAGTTGGGTCGCGTAGCTGAAATCGAAAATATTTGTTTTATAAGCAATGATATAAAGGCGACGAAGAACATAATAAGGGACTCAAACTCCTTTTTTTCATAAAAGACTATAATGCTAAGAAAGTGACCATACTTTCTCATTTAGAGCTAGGAGAGTAGCCAGTTCCCTGTTACTTCAGGTGAAGGAATCTTGAAGTGTGGTCAAATCGATAGAATGGGCTGGATAAGCACAGCTTCTCAGTGGCCTAAAACCAACATTTTGTATTACCTTGGGAAGCTAGATTGTTACAAATACAAAAAGTATAGATTTAAGAAACTGTCAGGCTAAACTTTGCTTCCACCCAATTGCCAAAAGAGAAGTTTTCAACGAGAGAAGATTCCTATAACGAAATAAACTGTCGTTTTTCTGCAAAGTATACTAGGTAGGTGCCTGAAAATAGGACGTTGTTGGCATAGAAAATTAGGAAGGGTGGCTATGCTCTAGGCAACTTATGGAAGCCACACACAAGACCACACCCTTTTATTCATGTTGAAGATTGTTGGAGTTGTTGTATATAAGAAATCATTCAAACAATTCACAGACTCTAAAAGGCTATTAGAAATCGCTCATCTATGAAAAATCAATAGGGCAGTAAAGGGTTAGTTCACATTGCAAAGTAAGAGATTCGCCCAATCAAACATACACGGACTTGTGACGGGCTGCCCCCAAATAAAAATCTTTCTGAATTTTAACAAGGGGTGCTGAGTTCGCGAGCCCCTCCTCTTGATTACATCATTCCGCCATCTAAAGCTGTGGTGTGGTGTTCAAAGCAAAGTATGATGCAACTGATCTGCATCATTGCCTAGTGATAAAGCAAAGTTTCTTTCAAGTCCTTTAAAATTATTAACATCCTTACTTTCATAGTTATTTTCCATACATAAGAAAGGGGGCCTATTTGCACAGAGCTGATTAGCAAGCAAGAGACTCTTTGATTGATAATCCAAATCTTAACAGAATGAATGCACACCAGAAAATTTGCTCAAGATAGAAAATCTAGCCCATGTATTTCATTCATAATTGGACACTTCTTTCTTTGGAGGCTATTATAGTTCAAAAACAATTCACGAAGTCACTAGTAGCTATTCGTGCTCGCGAAAATTTTTTGGTTATAACAATAGCATGCATGGGTGGTTTTCTGCTTCTCAAGCAAAGAAAATATTTACATTTCTTAAAAGCATTAAATCACAAAATTTAGAATGTACCATAGAGTAAAAAGTGATATCATTTTAATTTACGCAGTGGGTTCTTTACAACCACGCCATCTTATGGAAGTCAACGCTGGGTTAAACTACTTGTTGACTTGTAGAAGAAATATTGGCATAGTTGAAATTATATCCCCCTTCATATTAACACTTCTGGCCAATGGTTAATAGAAAAATATTAAGTTAAAGTTAAATACATTATATATAGCTGAGATTTGGTTAGTTAATGTTTACCCATGTAATTAATACTGTTGTTATGGTCTTATTAAAAGTTTAGTAGCATCTGAGCCCTAGTTTCAAGGAGTTTAGTAGCAAAGGAGTTTCGAAAGCTAAGAACAAACTACAGTGACTTCATAGATAAAGGAAATGAAGATTTTTCAGATTATGTTGTCCAATTTTGAAAAAGAACATTTCATAATATCATTCATCACCTTACAACATTGATTTGTTCTACTTTTTACTAACGTGGTCTTCACTCCATTTTGTCTTTTCCTTCAGTGGCCCCAAAGCAAAAATATTTTTGCTTGAAAAATCTTTTTTTTCAGTAAATTCTCTTCATAGCTTTTACTTTTTGTGATCTTTCATTCTTTTCATTACTTTTCATATTTCTCGTAACTAGTATCTTGTAGTTTTTTATGATTTCCTGTGCTTTGCCATTTGCCAGTGATATTGCGTGTTATCAGAGTGTAAACAAAGAATCATGACTCCGATTCCCTGAAGCAGACTGTCAAATTATCCATGACACCAATTTTCTTACTTTGATATTGTGATCAATTGAATTCAAAAATCTAAATGATAGAGTTCGTAGCCCCCTTTCGTATTTCTGAAGATTGTTCCAATGCTGTCAAATGAAAGTGGTTGAAGGGTCCTTGATTGTTTTTTCTTCGCAGAAACGAAGTACCTTGGGCATTTCAACTTGGAATTTGAAAATACAAAAATTCTTGAATATTTTCCAAGAGTTCAGATCAGTTCAATAAAATACATTAGATAAAGCGCAGAAAGAACCTAACTGTTAATCGCATTTGATCATATTTATACATCTTGCCATAAAGACAAACACACAGATTTCAATTAAAAAATCCGTCTTCAAAAGCTTGCAAAATCTACATGGAACTTTGCTTACTTAGAATACTTTTGAAACTAAAAAAATTAGCGTAAATACATTATTTTTTATATTAAATACAACAAATAGTAACAAATTACGACATTTACCTGAATAGTCCAAGCTTAAAAGTCTTTATATACAAACAGGAACAGTTACCCAAAGCTCTCGAACAAAATATCTCCTATCTGTTTTATAAGCAGTCTTGCTCTCTATGAACGATGGTATTTATTTGAAAATTACATAATATTTACCAATTTCAGTGGATCTGAAACTTTTCACTATAATCCAACGATATCTTCTCGGGAAGATTTATACCAGTTCTGAAATACAGGCGTCTGTATTCACTCGGAATCTACCAGGCGTAATGCTTTCCTGAATAAAACTGAGCAAAAGAACGCAGCTAGTTCTCTTTGTTATTTGAAGAACTAGTGCAAAGAGGGAATCGATTCAGTACAAACTTTCATATAGTGCGCACATACTTCATTTCCAAATTTGGGTTCTTCAAACATAGAAGTTTGTAACGAAGGTTGGAGTAGTAACACCCCAAAAGTCCTTAAAAGTTGGCTGGTATCGTAGCGACTTTGTTTTCAAAAACAGCTTTTGACCTGCAAATTTTGGAAAATATTGCTTTCATCTGTATTGTTGTAGGTAGGTTGAACATTCCATAATATCTGCACCCTAAACCTGTCAGATAGGACTTAAGCTTAATTAGGTTCCTCTTCATTTTTATATTCTAAATTCTGCAAAGTAGTCAGCTCAAAGCACTCGGTAACGCTAGAAAGAATGTCAGTTCACTCTCCATTTTCAAATCTACATTACTTAACATCTTGACATTAAGTAAAACCTAATATTTATAAAGTCACAGGTTTTGAACATTACCCATACATAATATGTTGGATACTCAATGCATTATTATTACTATGCACAATTAAATTAGCAGCTATCTACAAGAGTATACAAAGCATCTTCTTAAAGCAATAATGGGTCTACGCAATGGCTCACTGGGGGCAAGAGCACAAGGTTACTGAGAGACAAACATCATAATGGCACTAATCAACGGTGGGAATGTATCACTTAGTTTCAAGTTTAAAAATCCCAACACAAAAAATTATTCAAACAGGAATAGTGACGTGTATGAAGCAAATATTTTAACCTTTGTTTCAATAACACGCCATTGATGCTTGAAGAACCATCTAAGTAGCCAAGATCTTACGAAAACTTGTAAATCTTAGATTCCATATCGTCGTAAGAGGCGGAGACCCCTCTGCTGTCTGTTGCAAAGATATGGAAACCAGGCTTGAATCTTTAAACGTGCTTATTTGAAGAAATCATAACCCCTGGCCGGAATAATTCATGGGGCTATCATAATATAACTTTCTTTAACATTAAATAAATCTCAATCGCAACAATATCAATTGTGAAGTTTATCAATAGGAATATCGACAGCGGTATTGCTTAGAAGGAGAGAACACGAAGACTTTTTGCAGACAGGCAGGGAAATGTCTCAACAAACCATTATTGGTGTGCCAGTAGCTTTAGGCTATAGAACCACCTGCCCTGCGCATAAGAATTATTCGCTTGTTTTAAAGCTCATCTCTGACACTGACATTTGCACTCTGTCGTAATGCTCTCACTGTAAATTTTCCACGAGCATTTTCTCGATCTTGAACAGAACCAAAGCAGTAATCTAACTTTCTCGTCCTGCTTTGAAGGCTGACATGTCATCCCGACAGGAATTGAGCATGATTTTTTTGGGCAGTATCCGACTTTCATGTATCTAGGCCACACATACTTGCCCAAGTCCATCCATTTGTACTCAACAGGGCAGTAAGATCGTCGCCACAGTAGTAGCTGCAGCAAAGATGTCAGTGCCTGGGAACGTGCATGCCTTCTTGGCATTTCAGGCAGATCAAACTTGATGGTTTTTAACGACTGTGGCATCGTTTTTAGAAGCTCTTTCTCTGATACCTCGTTCTCGCGCTGGATATTATCGAAGTCTTTTGGCATTTTTGTTGACAAATGCGAACTTATGTAGTTACCAAGAATACGGAGCAAGCTCTGGTCTTTCAAGTCCTCATTTTTCGGATCTGGCCACTTTTGGCTTTTTCTCATGAGATGATACAGCACTGTGAAGTTCGTCCTTGGGGTCAACGAGGAAGGCGTATTAAGGTAGAACCTTGCAAGACCATTTGTAGGCACTGTTTGACAGCAGACAAGCAAAGGGATGCCCAGCAAAAAGATGAACAGATTGTTTCTTCGATGCATCATTAGTGACTTCTCTTTAGGCCTAAACATAAACAGAAAGATATCAAGGGTCAATAGTGTGACTGGGAATTCCGTACTGTAAAGATCACTAGCTGCCTTGATATTAAGACGAAACAGCTTAAAAATTGTCACCTAGACATTCTTACTATCAACAGCAACTCAAAAGCTCCATTCATGTGGGAGAAAATTCTCTTGAATCAAACTGTGAACGTAGTATTGCTATATTGCTGTTGTAAAAACTTGGCTGGTATGTTATGCATGCTCAAATTCTCAATGGAATCCAGGCAGGGGCCGTAAGAAAATACTGTCACTGACTCGAGAGATGGTGCAAGAGCAACGAAGAGTTTGAATGCTCTAAGTAGAAAAAGAGTGCTCGTGTGAAAATGTTCAGGGTCATAAGAAGAAAAAATTAGCTTCAAATGTGGTTCTTTGCTAAAAAGGTATGAACAAGCAGCCTTTTGAGAAATTATTGCGGTTTGATTATGGTTTGATTTTATAAACTAACGGCCTATCGCCGGATAAAACTTTAAACCAGATAAACAGACTCGATCAAATGTATTGAGTGCATATCAAAGAAAAACCCAAGGAATCTCCATGTCATGCATTAAAAGTGCAGCGGAGGGGCTCAAACACTGCAGAACTCTCTAAACGCAGTAAATTTTTCATCGTAACGTGGTTTATTTTAGGCCATCGCATTTTTCTTTGTAATTGAGATGGTTAAAGGTTTTTGAACGTAATACAAAAATTAAATTTCGTATAGATAGTTCTGCAGCCTTTGTGCTTTGATTTTTCCATATGAAATACAAAGGACCAATGGAAACATTTGGAAAACTCTAGAGGCTTTGTCAGCTTTATATGCTATGTTGTAGATAGTACGTTGAATGAATAGTTATGAGTCTTTACTAGGTTGATTCTAATTTTGATAACAATTAGATATGTTAGTTTTCAATTAAAGTTTTATATTGGTCTACTTTGACTGCCGAGTTGCTTGATGTTTATCACACTCAAAATTCTACTATTCCGCAGAAAAAGCAAATTTATATTCTTGTTTTTAGTACTTTTTGAGAATAAATTTAGATGACCAAATAAGATGAAATCGATCGAGTACGTTTTTGTTTGTTTACTTACACATTGCTACAAGATTTGTGCTTGGCAGTTTGTGCGCAAACGAGGCACGTGTAGGGCATAATGGCGGATAGAGTGGGACATAAATAGCTTCCTGAAAGGGTCTGGTAAAAACAGTAAACAAGAAATAATTTAACATACAATGATTGGCAATGCTGCCAGAGAAAAAAAATTAAAAACAGGACTCACAAAATTAGCTAACTGAGGGGTTATTTCCTGCAGCGCAATTTCCAAAATTCAAAACAGTGTTACTGCTTGAATGGCAAACGCCAATCAGCTGAACAGAGTAAAATGTTTTTTTTAAGCAAGAACTCAAAAATTTTGGAGATTTCTTATAGGTCATATTGTTTAAAGTTAAGGAACCTAGGAAAAATGCAAAAGCATGTTGTGAATAAGTCTTCTTGGGAGGTACAGTGTTTTAGAGACGAAAATGTAAAATAGAGATAAGCTGATTGCATCAACTGAAGCGGTAAAAACAGCTAGAATATTGTCATAATGTTGGAAACAACTACACAGATGCAGTTAAAGGTAATGTAGTATTGTTCCAAAGGAAAAGTGCTAATTCTATGGTTGATCCGTTCCTTTTTTTGATATGGAAAAGTGTAGTTTTGTGGATGCAATTGCATACGAAATAATATAGTCACCTAAGATTCGGAGATTTGTTGTTCATGGAGTTTGCAAATACCGTTAGCATAAGCCAAAATCATTTCCATTAAGTCAAATCTGTTTGAGAAAAACAAGCTACAATGTCAATCTATCAAAAGCGTTTTGCCAGTTAACATTATGTCAGTGAAGACAGATTTGGATGTTGAGTCTGTTGAGCTCGTTGCTTAGTTACATGGAATGTGCTTTGGGTGACCCATCAAACCATGATCAAATGATACCCGTCTAGCTTCAGGATATCATTTGGGGAAACGTAAAACTAATTCTTGTGCTTTTTTAAATACTTCCAAATTTGAAATTACTCAGGCCACACCCTTCGTTTGTGCAATCCTGACCGGACGTATGTGTCCCACTCAACTAACTGATCCTCGTTTTTAAGAATTTATTAATATGTAAAAATCAACATATTCTTGGTGAGTTATAAGGAGGCAAGTACCTCTTAAATAAAGATTGTACATGCTTTTAGTTAGAACTGTGAGATTGTCTTAAGCCTAACACTAAAGCAAGATAAATCCTAATTCATGCTTAATTAAATCTGTTTAATGCACAAGGGCCAAAAAACAGGGGGAGGGGATAAGGGGCTTGAGTTCTAAATTGTATGTTTGGCACAGAATTAGGATTGTGAAAAGTACCGCTTTCTCGAGTTTTACCTCTTCAGATTTCAATTTCTCAGTGCATACTACTGTAAAATGAGTCGATGGCAAAATGGTTGGCAGATACATCTCAAGCATAAGGCCTGGGCTGAAATTTGACCTAATGCACCTTTTGATGTAAACAGCTGTAATCAATTAATCTGTATAAAATGGAGATTTTGATTTTCAGAGTAATTGAGCATTTGAATGCGATTCAATCGCAACAAAAACTCCGCACGGGGCTTTTTCGCACGACAGATGCACAACTATGATCGCAACACGTCACAACAGTTCTGCCTTGCTGTTCGATACAAAATACCTCGCATTGATCCACCCATAACTCAATGTATCATTACCGTCTCAGCTTCCACCCTTTGAAATTATAGTAATCCATTTAAATGTATACCCCTATGCATAACAGGACTTTCCCACATGTGATGCTACACTGCCTGCTACTCTTTACAGGAAATTAACAGCAAGAAATATTTTGAATTTCATGCATGCTTTCATTGAGACGACTGAAATTTTTTTTCCTTACAAGAAAATATTCTCGGCAAAATGTATATCTCCAAGGAACAATTATGGCCTATTATTGCTATTACTTTCAGATTTTAATAATATAAACGGACAAAATCAGGTTTTACTGAAAAAAACACTCTCTTATACGTTGAAAGTTCATTTCATTCCTATTCACCCATGTTTTTGTAATATTTCATTATAAATTTCTATTTCTATTGTTTACCATTTCACGTATGAAAGTAGTGGACATTCACATCCCGTTGTTATGAGCAATTGCGAGGTCAAAACTAGGGAAAGAGAAATTACACTCCCGCAACCCAACTTTTAGCAAACAATGATCCAGCAAAATCTTCTTAAACCTATATTCCAATGACGAATATGGCCGTCACTTCAAAATTTTTCTTTAATTGAGCTGGTTTTTCTTAATTTTTCCAAAACTTTGAGTCTGGATTGTTCTTAGATTATTATGATGTTAGCAGTGCAATCGCTAGCTATTGTGCTCAAAGGGAGTGTTCGAAAATTCACCGGCGAATCACCCCTTGACGATGAAAAACTCCTCGTTTCTGAGATTGTATTTTCTAAAGGGGTTTAGCTATTTTGTTCAAAATTACGCTTTACAGTGCCTTAGTCCTTAATTTGCTTTTTAGTTCTGGTCAATTGTGTGGCTCGTTTTCTTATAAATTATTCTTATAAAGACAGGTTGTGTGCTCAGTAGCAACTGATACAGCAACTAGATACAAACGAAGGATTATTAAACTTCTCAACATCTCTTCAAAATACTTTATCCCTCCTTTTGGCTATGCATCGTGTATTTGATATGAATGAAACAATTATCAATTATCTAAAGTCCAGTATGCTTGTTTTCGCTGTATACCAAATATCTTCTTTGTTGTTCCAGTAAGAATGTCTAGCTTGCAGTGATTCGAAATCCAACAGAACTAGAGTCGATTTCTGTTATAGTCACATGAAATGTTATATGATAATTTTGGCTGTCAGCTGAGTCCGACTGTAAGCTGTAGCCAGAGAATGACTTAGAAGGAGAGTGACTGTGATCGAAGTCGACTTGAGTGAAGTTTCAAGATAATGCTAGCAAATGTAAAGAAACAATTTATCTAACATGCCAAACATTTTATATACATATACTAAAAATTAGCCAAAATTCTCTTGCGTTTTGTTTTGGCTTAAAATACTCATTTTTGTGTTTGGAATTAATACAAAATTTAATTTTTCGATTTTGTATTATTAAAAGGATATTGATTTAAGCTTTTAGTCATTTTAGGCTGAAAAGCTTTATCTTTGGGAAGAGATTTTCCTACTGAAATTAAAAAGCTTCAATATGGAAAAAAGTCAAGACGGTGCAATTTTCAAATTACTCAAATGCACATTAAATTCAAAGATATACAGATTACAATAATCTGATTTTGTAAAGAATAGCATAAAAAATACATCAAGTTGCAACATTTGCTGCAAGATGCAAAGAAATAATTGAAATGAAGAAAACGACTGTCTAATGAAGACGATGCACTCGTCATTTGCCGCAGTCGCGCGGTTTTATTTAAAAAACAAGACTTAGAGTAAACGAAGGAAGGGATAGGGCAAAAAAGGATCATCTAGTTTAGATGTAACATAATCTGTACATGGGTTTATTTAACAGATTTGAGATGCTATTTAGAAGTATTATTTCTTAAATCGCGATATTACAAATAAAATTACGTCCTTGTTGCGTAACGTTTAGACTTGCATCTAGACCTGAGGTACAGTACAGCCAATTTACTCCCAAATATTGTATATAAAACCTCCCTGTTAGGTAACAAAACGATTGTCTTCTTTGAGCTTTTGATCAATTTTCTCGGATCTCTGTAATTTCTGACATGAATAAATATTTCATCAACTGCACTGATAATACCAATTACTTTTTTCGAAAGAAAAACAATAAGCATCTTGTACTTATCTGCAGCAAATGAAGAAAATATATACCTGAATTGTTGACACTTTGGCGCTCTCATGCAATCCGCAATCTGACCCAGCTATCTCCAGGAAGACGAATAAAAAATGGCGCAACAATTTCTCAGTCGCCCTTTTTAGCATCCTACAGTGCCAGTTTGTCAAACTATTAATAGCGTTTTGAGAGCATTCAAACACAATGAACTTTTGGGCCTCCAATGCAATTCGAAAATACACATTGTGTTTCTCTCAAAGCCATCCATGTTTGGTTTTCAAATATATTTTGCTCCAGATTTTGTCTTGTAACTTAGTCTCTCTTATAGACTGACATTGAAACGTGAATTTTGGTATAAAAAACGCAGAGCTGCTTTTGTTCGATATAATGTGGAAAGAATGGTCCTCTTAAAGTAAGATACATTAATTACAAAAAATTTCGTCGTGACAAAATTTCGGACAAATATTTTTTCATTGAAATATGAATTTTTTCTATTTATAGGCCATTCAAACATTCATTTTGTTTGCTCAAGAAATCTTTGATATTTTGTGTTCACGTTTGCTGAAATATACAGTTCACAAGCAGGAGTCCTGTAATATTATGGTTATAAATCAAGGGCAAAAGTTGTTTTCCAACTTACAAGAGCTTTTTGAGGATACTTAGATAGACCAACACCCGCCACCCCCCACCCCCCGCTAGTAGTCGTGTAATTCACGCACAACTTTCTGACTTTCACGCATTCACGCAATGCAAACTTGGATTTTCACGCTCACGCAAACAATAAATGTAATATCAGCTATTGCTCATCAGAACCCTGTTTGAAGGACTACAACACAACTTTCAAACGTTGATTATTAATTTGAGATTTAACTATTATTGGTTTATTACGTACCAAATTGAGGCAATTTCTTAAATTATCACTCAAAATTTCAATCACGAATTCCCGGATAGTTAAAGCCTTCTCACGACAGGAAAACTCATGTTTCACGCCTCACGCAGGAATCGTAATTCACGAAATTACACATCAAAAATCAAGATTTGCCGATTTCTCGCACGAAATTATGGCCAATAATGCATCATGCAAAATTATGGGGGGGGGGAGGGGCCTTAGATCAATATTACACAAAGAAAATACTTCTCCCATCTGGAAAAGTCTCCGTTGCAAAACCTAATCAAATGTTAAGTCAAAATTATTATATCTAAAAGTTCCAATAGCTGTTGAGCGTTAGTGTACCTAGGTAATAGGTGCTTCAAACGTCAAACGTCAACGTTACACAAAAGTAAATAGTAACGTATATTTGCTTTGAAGTAAATATAACTTACAAAATACAAACATAATTTTCTGCGTTGTCCAATCTGACACAAAAGTGCCTGCACTGGGGTACAGAGCAAGTAAAATATTAAAGGTTTCATCAAAAGTGAGACATGTTCGCTGTTACCCCGAGTCACATGCTTGTGCACTTGAGGGGCAAATCACTCCGAAAAACCTCGTACACCTTTGGTGGAAATCCTATTGTTTTATCTGGAAATCACCAGAAATCCGTTTGTTTCAGGGAAAATATCATACGCTATTTGCAAGAGTGAATTGCCCCTCGTGTGCATTCATAAGAAAGACTTACACTGGAACTCGGAGTAACAACGAACGTGTCTCATCTTTAATCAAACCTCTAATATTTGATTATGAGTATAAAAATAAATCTACTTTGGCTTATCTAACTTGGCTGAGTTTCATAGTAGCAACAGAGAGAAGCTCCTGCTCATTCACAAGGGAAAATACATTTGTTATTTTTTTTAATAAGACATGGTGGTTTTAAAAGAAGCAGTTTTTGCTCTGTAGCTTGTTCTGGTAATGGTAGCCCACATTTGGTACCGAATAAATCATTTTTTCTAACGTCCATCGATAAGAATGATGTACCAACATTTCTTATAAATAAGGCATCATCTTAAAGGAAATGTGCAAGGAATCATGTTATACGAGTATATAAACTCGTGCATACTGATGCCCTGAATTGTAGTTTGTCTATGAAAATTCCACTAGTGAATAAAAGGCACCTCACAGCGCAAACAATGTCAAGTATCTTTTAGAATCAGATCTCTTTTTTATAAAATTGATATAACCGGCAAAAAAGCTTTAAAAAATACGATGCTCCTGACAATACGAACGGAATTCCGTATTATAAACATCTCCTTTCCTGGTTATTTTAGAAAAGTAAAATTTTTCATCTCTTAGTTTGTGGACGTGTTTTACTATAAATTGTCAATTATCAACGACAATTAAGTTTCCATTTTCAGGTTTCCTAGACCGTTGTTTCCATATTTAAAGATGTATTGCTAAATTTGAGCATAAAATATTCGCCCGTATCCTGGCTTGAAATTGAAATTCAAATTCGTACTATAAACGCCACAAACGCAATAATCACGGAAGGATCTAGGCCATTAAGGAAAAAAATAGAGTGGATACCTTATTAGTTTTTCTTTATCATAACCACGACACGACTTCTTGCCTTTCCTCCAAATCCAATGTTGTTTATATCGCTGCATTTTGCTAAAAATGTAATAGATTGAGTATAGGTCGTCGTACAGTGGACCGAGCAAAACACTTTATCGAGAATGGGTTTAACAATGAATTGAAAACGTCAGTGGAGTCTATGTTGGAGGCGGTGAATAATGTCGGAATGAAGCTCTTCTGGCGCGCGCTATGGACAACGGGGTGCCAAAGTTGAGATCTATTTCACATATTTATTAAAATGACTGGCTTGTGAAAGGTCTGGTGCTATCTATTGGCTAACATTGTTAATCACTTCACAGTCATCGCTCTGCGAATAAAGACCTGGACACGAAACTATTTTTATCGAGCATTCATGTCATTGAAGAACCCGTCTGAGTTGCTGATATGCTTGGTATGAAAAGTCGCTGTCGAGTCCTGTTCAACAAATTCTTTACTGAATCCAAAAAATTGGTTTAGTCAACATAACGAAGGTTTATGGGGGAATTTCCATCCAAACTTAAGCTGTAAGAACAAGATTCAGAGATATCGAATTCGTGCTTGATCCTCTTAATGACAGCCAAGTGAAATTGTTTTAGTTTGTTGAATAAACTTAGAACAAATCTCCTTCTGTTGCCAATTGACCGTATCGCTTGAAATTTATATTAAAAATGAGAGGTGCAACTAACATTTTACAGCTAGTTTCTAAATCTTGATAACTGATTTCACAATTACTTTGGCAAAGCGGAAAACTGTGGGTCAATAAATTCTTGCTAGAAAAAAAGAACGAACCACCACGTGTTCTCTTTTTATACAAAAGAATCATCTAATCGCGCCAAGCATGTCACCTTACCAACGTGTACCTTTATTTCCCTATTCCAATTAGGAGGGCTCGAGAGCAAGTGGTAAAAAGGATAATTTAGCCTATGTCTCTTTCATAAATAATATGAATTTTTGTGCTTATCGCTTATTTTGTGCATAATTGTATCATGCACCCATCAAAAACCAAAAATTTTCTCCAACCATTATTACGAAAAATTTCAAATGTGCTGAAACTGATAACAGTACTTCAGGGTCACATTTGAATAAATCAAAGCAGCTGAATTCAAGTGAAAAACAAAACAAGAGGAAGGAACAAGGAACACTTTCCCCTAATTCATGGGATTTCACAGCAAGCAATAGTCTTTTAAGCGATAGAAGAGTTTACTGCTTTTTGTTAACTTTGATGATTTATGAATGAGAAAGTGAATCTCTTCTGTGTATACTTATACTTCGCATTCTATTTTTCTAAGTCAATTTTGGGCCAAAATACGTTTTTTACCAAAAAAAATGAACGATTTGAAATGGTTAAGCATTCAGAAACAAAGGGATCACGTACCAAAGGAATCCTATTCACCTAGCTGTCCTAGCTGGTGGTTATTTTATAACTTTTCTCGTACGCATACCAAAATGTATTTCAAAAGGTATTAGGCCTAATCGAAGACAAGATTTTTGGTCAAGCCGCACTTTTTTGCAATGCATTTTACTAAAGTAATACCTTGATAATTTCAGTCTGAGCATATTTTGAATTCCCCCAAAATATATATAAGAAAACCATAATCAAGTATTAAGGTCGATAGAACGATCGGCAATGAAAACAGCAGCAATATTTACTTGGTTAAAAAGTACATCAACAGCTGTTCAATTATCCGAAAGAGGGTATGAAGCTTTAAGGACTGGGGTGAGTAAAGAATGAATGACGTAAGAGATCAGGAAAAGGCTAGTATCGTTGAGGGTTTATTTAGTTTCAGGAGGCGAAAAGGTATAGAAGTTAATAATTAGATACGGCATCACTAACGCTCAGCAATTTGCTAAACCTTTCCAGTTAAAATTGAAACATATGGAAATTATGGCATTAAGATACGAAAAAGCCAATTTTGTTTTCAATACATGCTAATTTGGTGAATATTTCAAGATTACTGTAACTTGAAAGATGGGAATAGAGCGACTGAGGTAAAAATGTTGGAAAGAATGAGACATTCTCGCATTTTTGAGTTATTGGGCTACACGCTTATTTAAAAGGGCACATTTTGCCCCGATTACATTCCTGGCAGTTGCAGCCATTTCTAGCATGTGCTGTGAGAATTACAGGGCAAAGACGTCAGATTTCAAAAGAAATCAATGTATGATGAGGACTAAGCACGTTTCTACTTTTAAGATACGATTCAGAGATTTGTGACATTTTAGAGACGTGATGGTGGATTGCAGTTTTTGAATTATTATTAGGAGGAATCTGGAGCCAAAGAATCCAGACTGATTTGACGTTATCGTGAGATAGGAGACTAAGTTTTTTTCTTAAGATTAATCATCGTGAAGCAGGGGCCATTCTTTGACAGTGAAACATTTAAGCGTCCATTGCTTGGCTGGAAACTGACAGAACTTAGGGTTTACATTCTTTATATCTGTCTGCTTTCGGGTTTTGTTGAGCCACATAATTTCGTAAAAGGTTTTAATTAATATTTTCAGTGATACACAGGTTCAGATTTAAAAAGGTGAAACACGCACATATTTTAGCAAACTTCTTGCTCCCTGTCGTAAGTTTGAAGAGGAGGCGGATAAAAGATAAAAGCCGCAGTATACTAATGTTGCCATAAGAGAGAGGTGAATATTTCATGTAGACATTAAACCTCTCGATAGTAATAATTAGTTTTTAGTTAAACAATTTAAAAGTATTGTCATTGCATTTACCAAACCGTGGAGTTAATACCAGGTTAAAGTGGGCTCAAAGGTCTTTTCTACAACCTAAAAACTAAGAGCAAGGCGATATTGAGTGTGGTTTTAAGGAAATTTTGGAAAGAATCCGGGGACTGTGCCCTCCTCAATCCCTGCTTCCACGACCTTTCTTACTGAGAAATAGACTTTACTTGCATAGACGTACGGGGTGAGTTCAGAAAGGGGGAGGGGGCTGAAAAATAATAACGCCCAAAATTTTAAGGAGTATACTTTAATACATGCGAGCCTATACCAGTCAAGAAAGTATTAAAATTTAACGTATTCAAAATAATGTTAACTAATAAGCATTTTTAAAACTTCATACATTTTCATTAAAATAAGCGAATCTCTTTCACGACATCAACCAAATATATCGATTATTTTATCGATATCTTTTTGTGGACATGATTTGCATCATTTTCAGCAATTCACACACGTTTTTGCTTACCTGCCTATTCTTGTGATTATTGAACAGTTTGCGTTTCATTTCTGGGAGATCAGAAACTCACAATCTATTTGTAGAGGGAGCAAACCTTTATGATAATTTCTGTCAAAGGGTTATCATTCACACTTGCATTCCCTAATCACGGGCCAGTGGCGTAACACAGTTTAGGGCACCTTGATTCAGCGTTTTTCAACCTTTTCTATCTACGGCACATTATTCATGGATAGTTATTAATTTTTATCAATTTTATAAACCAATTAAGAGAAATTAGAGAATTTTCCACGGCACACTAGGCAATACCTCAAGGCACGCTAGTGTGTCGTGAAACAGTGGTTGAAAACACCAAAGGGCCCCCGACCAAAAGGGACCCAAGGTGCCTCAGTTACGCCAAAGCACATAAAATGTGATAGTCACTAAATCGTGCATAGATTATTTCCAAAACTCTATTCATTACATTGTAGAAACAATGCAACAGGGCTTTGCTTTCTAGATGCGTTTCGGGGTCTTTGCCTTGCAAAGAAAATAAGTGTTGTGTCCACTGCCTTCCCCCTCTGGCAAGCCCAGTGCCTTGTGCTTTGTCCCTATTAGCTATATGACAGTTCATGTTCAATTTTTCTCTTGAAAATATATTTTTTTTCGTGGTGGCCTCAATGAAATTGTAGAGACCTTGAACAACACCCATTCTGATTCACTTTTTGCAAGATTCAACTAACGGCAAAGGCAGTGAACATAGATGCTCAGCGGAGAACAGTCATCCATTCGCTTTGCCAAACCCTCATCTTTGCAGCTCGTTTTAGACCGTCGAAGCATTTGCCAACAAGTTTCTACATACGCTTTTAAGCCGAATTTGTACAATTGCTGAAGACCGAGTTTTGTAAAATCTAGCAAAAACTTCCTTTCCGACACCTTTCATTGCAAAGATGACACAAACTGATATTCATTCGTGCTGACGAAAGTCAGATATTTCATCAATTATGGCAGTATTACAGCCTCTTTCTTTTACTTCTTCGACAATCTTTTCAAGTACTAATTGGGCTGTCGATGTTCTTGTCGCTTTCTTCTCACCATATAGATTTTTTCCATATTCCATTACTTCCGAAAGCGCTTACGATTACGACCACTTGATTTTTTTCATCTGAGAGATTTGTTCAAAGTGTTCATAAACTTTTTCAAGATGTAATTTTTCTTACAATTTTGGATTTTGGAGAAGGCTCCTGCTCGAATCTTGCCCGAAATAACCAGCTGCCCGAATCTAGGAGGGGGGGGGGGTTTGGTTGAAGCCCCCCAGCCCCCCGTCCCGTACGCCTATGTATACCTGGAATTTCCGAAAAAAATCGGATCAAATATTGTATTTGAAAGTAAAAGGAGATATGTTTCAACCTTGACGCTTTAGAAGTTGAAACCTTGAATAAAACTCGAACATTTTTTGTGTTGGAGACGAACATATCGCGTTTGCATGAATAAGACATTCTTGTCGTATTTTAAATGATATTGGATTATATGATTCAAATAAGATTCAGACTGAAATATCATAGCAAGGAGAATAATCATCACTTTAAACAGAAAAAATTTCAAGAATTTTTTAACTAAAAGAATATTGGTTGTAAATTTCACACGTTTCTTGATGAAATCCAACAAACCATGAAAATAAAAAAACGAGGAGTAATAGACAGTCCATGAACTTTTCTATATTTGATCCTCAAATCCGATGGTTCTAAGCAATAAATGAAATACCAAAGAAAAGGTCTCGTAGTTAAAGAAACTGAGGAAGCATCAATAGCTAGAAGTGAATGAATTTCATCTTTTTGGCAGTTAGTTGACCCGAAATAAAATATCTAAAGAATCATGCACATCAATCAAACCAACAAAACCGTTAAATTTATTGAAAAACGAGGCTTTCCCATAGACTCGAGGGAGGGGCATTCAAACAAATTTAGCAGAACGGCTGTGAAACCAAATGAGTGCAGAAGGTAGGTCATATCGAATTGGTTTTAGGCTCCTATAAGCATACTATGTATGCAGAATACATATTGCGACTTAATCAAAAAAATTCTCAAGACCTTGATTTCAAAGCAGGGCTTTCGACGTAGGGGGGCCAGGGCCCCCAATTTTTTGTGGAACAGTAGAAAGTTTCTCAAAAATTTTTGTAATGGGTGTTAAATTTTCCATGGTCCCCCTACTTGCTAAGCTGTGGCGGAGACCATAAAAAGAGCATGTATAAGATTTCTTATGGAGTAAAAAGCCGTTTGTTCTAAATTACCCCACAGATGAACTAGTCTAAGCAGTAAGTGTTTGATTCCTCGTTGTGGGAACTGCAAAAACACGTGTGCGTGAAAAAGAGTAAATGACCGCTTGTGGTGAAAGACAGAAATTGGCTGGTGTCATGCGCAAAAGTTGCTTATAGACTATAAATTGCAATTGTAATACATCACCTTACGGAATCCAGGAATATCCTCTCAGTATCCTTGACCACTGCAAATCTCTGCTGGTATAGGCCGATGATCCCAGTGAATCATTTGAACCATGCCAGCGAGCAGGTATATGAACATTCCAAATAGATGAGAAAAGACACGGAGACAAAAGGATGACGAACAAAAATATCTTAACTAGGTATTTAGTTATTGCCATTAAAAATTTCTTTTCACTAGAAAAGAACAGATATATAATGATATAGGAAAATGTATACAAAAGGCTGTCAAAGCTTTCCAAGCTGGTGATAGCTCTTTGGGCCAGGAAAAGCCAGGACCAATTAAAGCTAACTCTGTCACGAGTGTGACAAACAAAGGGCTTTGACCTTTGCTCAAGAATCGAGGACTTTATGTATCGCGCTATCCCAGCAGCTTCGTAAGAGGAGTCGACAATTCTCCATCAACCCTAAGGACCGTGCTTGGAGAGCGTAACCAAACAAAGGTCCATCCTAGTGAGTATTTGCTAATTATACCCTAATCCCCGAGTTTGGAAAACACCAAACAGAATTTTACCTTTTAGGAATCTAAAGCATTGTACAGTTTGATGGAAAATCATCTTGTTTTACTTTTTGATTTCATTCTTAATTTCCAGAAGCCTTACAATTTCATGCGATGCAAGGAGGTCAGTCTTTACCTAAATATTGCCTAAAATGGATGTGTAATTCTGCCTCTTCCTGGTTATTTGTCTATCGTAAATTTTTGCAGGTATCTCATACCTCAGCCGATAATGCGAACCATTTTTTGTGAGCATAATATATATCAACTGCAGCAATGTAGGATGCATCTATCGCAGCATCAAGCGGTGCATTGGCTAAAGAGCCATCTTTAATTAGACCACCATGCATTAAAGGCAATCCACAGAAACAAATGTGTCTTAAGCCATCTGTCAATCAATATCAGCCAATCAAAAGTCGTTCGAGTGGAATCACACTCCCTGATTGGTCAATTTTTTATTGAAAGCTGGCTAGTGCCCCTTCAGTATCTTTCGATTGCCTTTAATATTAGGGAACACATTTCTTGAATGCAGATTTTGAAAGCCTGAGGCTTCGATATTTTATGCCTTCTGATTCACTTTTGGGTCATTCTCATTTAACGGTGACAGGTACCGAAAGGTTATGTATTTTTCGTTCCAGAAATCACATAAATACATTATGCAGCAAGGTTTTTGAGCGAATCGAAACTCAATGATGTCATCAAGATAAATTTACTTATGTTGTTTAGATGTCGTTGTTCTGGTGACAAGTACGGTTGATTGTTGACATTCCTGTTTGAGGACAGATTTGCTGTGAGTGACTGGTTGTACAGCTGTAGAAATATTGAGGTCAAAGCAAAAGGTGAAGTTGAAATTCTGCCTAAGCTGATCAAACAAACCACAGGGTCGAAGAAGACAATTAACTTGTTGTTTAGAAAATACTAGAATCATTTAAAAATCGTACTGCCAACCTGAAGCGCACATTTATCAAAAATTCACAATGCATTTCATCAAGATATTATACTTCGTGGTAGCAGTGCTAATATTTTCTACAGTCCAGGGTGAGTAATATTTTAAAACGCTTTAGAGTTTCAACTTGAATGTTTGCTCTTAATGTAAACTTTATTAAGAATTCAGTTTCAAAGAGTCCTATTATCTAGTGTTTAGAGGAGTCCGAGGCCAGTAATGGACGTACAAAATAGCAGCTTAGAGTTGCGTAGCCAGAGGGGGTTCTTGTTTGGAACGCAGTTTACCTGCTTAATTCATATCTCAGTGGAGTTTTTGATGCTTGCATATTGCGGCTTTCATTTCTAAAATAGCCTTTCCCCGTCAAAAATCGTAGTAATGCTTCTAGGTTAATACAAATCTGCAGCACATGGCATGCAAACATCATAGAATGACGCTTGCTAAAATAGTTCTTCTGATAAAATTTTTGGATAACTATGCTTAAGAAATGTTTTCATCACAAATCTTAGGTAATGCGGATGAATCTGAATGCGAAATATGCAAGATGCAGCCTGAGACAGGGGACTGCCGTGCACTTATCCAAAGGTATTATTATGACATCAAGGCAGAAGACTGCAAGAGGTTCCAATATGGAGGGTGCGGAGGAAACAGAAACAACTTCAAAACCATTGATGACTGCAGAAAGAAATGTCTTCATCTCAAAGAAGAGTAATTTCTATAAAGCTTGAACTATCCAACGGAGTCAGTAAACGAACAAACGCTTTTAATTAGAATGTGCAGTTCTTCGATCAATGATAATTGTGTAGTCAAATGCATTTCAATACTTATACATTGATGTTTCGAGTCTTTCAAAAACTTATTTACGCTTGCTACTCGAGCTTCATTTTTGGTAAAACTGATACCCAAACATGCAATAAATTGTTTGAGAAAGAAAATTTGATACAAATGAAACACAGCCGGAATCATCTTGAATGAAAACACTTTTCCGTCAAAAGAGATCACAATTTTAAGTTCTTCACGATCTTTGTACGTAAGAGGGCTTACCTAAGAGGGCTTACCTAAGAGGGCTTACCTAAGAGGGCTTACCTAAGAGGGCTTACCTAAGAGGGCTTACCTAAGAGGGCGAGACTGATTAAACCGAATCCAGGATATTGTTTGTGCCGATAACAGAAATGTCTCTGCCTATTTATAGGCTAACCCTTGAACCCTTGACATTTTGGTCAAGATATTTGAAGGGCCGCCGAGAGGCGGCCTGGGCCCTGGGGCAAAGTCCCGGTTAGGGCCCTAGAGTCGGATAAGAAAAATTTTCGAGACCACGCCCTTTTTCAAATGGGAAACGCTCATTATTTCCAAACGTTTGCACACGTTATAGAATATGGTTAAAATATCATAAAATGTAATAAAAAGCATAAATTCTAAAGGTAAGCGATTTAAATACGCTCTTTGACCACACCCTTTTAGCTGATTAAAGAGGACTTCAAAATGTGTTCCTTCAATTCTGACTGTTTTTTTCCGGTGAGTCACGCAATATTAAAATTTAAAATGAAAGCAAACTTTTTTTCTACGCACTTTAAAAAATCCCATGGAACTATGCTTTTCAGTTCTTTCGTCCTTCAAAAGTTAATTTTTCTTGCTTTTTCAGTTGCAAACTGATTAATGATATTGTCGTAATCAATTTGTCTTGCTAGTTCGTGCTCGATCGAAAGAGTCATGAGGCTCGATAGTCTATCTTGAGTCATTGTTGAACGTAAGCGGTTCTTTATTAATGCTAGTTTGCTGAAAGGGGCCCCCAAATTATAATATAGCTTTATGCAACGAGTCTAAATGCAAACATAACTCACTTGAACGGGCCATAGATTAAAACAAGATTATATGGGTTACCTAATTTTTTATCAGGGCTCCCTTTGACCAATAAGTACGATTTTGCAAAACTCAGGGAAACTCAGCTTAAAATATGAATTCGTACAATATGTAATCTGAGGTTTATTCAGCTTTTCTCGGAGCCCCTGACTCAATAAATACAGCTGATAGGCCTTAAATTCAAACAAGACTCAGAGTACGGACCCAAGAAATTACTGCCATCATTTTCGATATTAACAAATATATCTTTGAATGCATTTTCAGTTTCTCAAAAAAAGATATTTTAAAAAAATTTTCAGAATAATTTGGGGGCCCCTTTCAGGCCGAGGCCCTGGGGCAAATTGCCCCACCTGCCCCCTCTCTGCACCACTGGATATTTGTAGAAATATACAGAAAACACAATTTTCCTTTGCAAAAAAATTATTTTTTGAATCATCACCAACCGAAACGTCAAATTATTTAAAAGGAATAAATATGGAAGATATTTTGAGGCTTACCTTTCTGGGGAAAAATTTAAAAACAATTCAAATCCAGAACCATAATTATAATCTAAAAGAAGAGCAGACTGTTTGACAGGGAGTCCTACAAACTACACTCCTGGCAAAAGTTATTGGACTCGCAGGCAAATTACAGCCTTTTTGATAAAATACACTCTCTATTCACCTCCCCCACACAAGCGATGTTGACATGCTTATTGCAACTCATTTCGATTGCTATTGGGAGGGGTGGGGGGGGGGGTTCTCCAGTCACACTAACCTTTTGGCCAGGACTGTAGTTACTAGTATCAGTGTCAGGTGTCATGTCACCGAAAATCACCAAAAAGACAAAAAATGGCAGAAAATGCAGCAAATCACAACTCATGGATATTTCATGGACAAATTCGTACTTTTACAAGGGACTAGTCCTAAGAGCCAATGAGTTATTTAACAGTTTAAAACCAGCCGGACCTTATCGGCCAGTCTGTGGACATCTGCTCAATAAAAAAGCCAATTTCTAATTAACTTCTGAACTTCGTTCCTTTTTCACTGCATCTAGTTTATTCAGTAGTTCCTCTGGAGTGTCTGCTACAACAAAAAATGTCTCTGCTTTTTTATAGGTTAGCCCTTCTTCCTCAGCCTTCGCTACCTAGGTCGGAAAATTAAACAAAGGTTATTTTCGCACAGTTACTCTATGTGCCATTTTAAGACTTGAAACGTTGACACAACCTTGTTTAGCAGCCTCTTCACTCGATAACGGGCTACAGACGAAATGTCGTTTTTAAAATTCGCTCTTTTAACCACGTACAATTTTACCTTAATTTCAAGTTATATATACTGTATTGTACGACACGTAGGCTAGTATATTTATGGAAGCTTTACGTTTCGTAGGGTTAAACATTGAAAATGCGAATAAAAAAATTTTAAATTTTAAATTATAAACTAAAATCACATACCCATTCTAGGAAACCTTTGTAATAATTGTTTGTATTTAGAATTCCAATTGGCTTGTTGTGTAATCCAAGTTGTACCCTTTGTTTCAATGAGGGAGTAAGGGTGAAAAGAAAATTATAATTAGCTTTTACTAAAATTAAAAAAAATTGAATCTTTCTTAATGGTACAGGAAGGAAATCAACATATGGAAGCAATACTTCATACCTAAAATGTCAGCGGAAAGCAGTACCTAATATACATTAAGGGGCAGATGGGCAAATTTTGGAACGAGTTATTGTATTAAGGCATGTGATGTTGACTTTTTATTTGGCAGTGAATTCGCTAGAAAGTATTAAATAATACATTTTCATGACGAAATATTTGGCAGCAACTTATAACCAGTCACAGAACCGTAAATGCTCTTCATTTCTGAGAAAATTATCCATTGACATTCGCCATTACGGCAACTTTGGAATGATAAGAGCCAAAAATTTTAGTGGGAATTTGCCTCATGGAAATCAAGCTCGTAAGACAAAAGTCTTTTTGAAAAACACTGGTTGTCACTGGATAGAATATGTTATTAAAGGTAAATGAGGAATCCAAAGCAAATTTGTATGTATTTTTGAATCATACAACACATAGCAAATATTTATGCATCTTCTGAATCGTTTTGGCAGGCCTTGCCGTTTCTATGCGGATATTCTGGGTTAAAACTCTTTTTGCCAAATAATAAGTTCCACACTTATGATGCAAATTTTTGTTTTGGATCTAGTTTTCTTTTTTTTATTCGCTTTATTAAATTTCAGTTTACAAAATAATAGCTAATAAACAGCTAATTAACACCAACTTGCAACAATAACAAATATAATAAATCGTGATGTTTACAAGTATCCAATATTAGAAATATATGGTGTTCATAGTCTACACGAGCAAGTAAGACCCGTTTGTTTAATTTAAGCTTTGAATAATTTACAATTTTCTGTCGATCGACTGTCTAATGGTATAGACATTCGATCAGTTGGCAGCCAAAGTGACAATAAAAAACACCAGGTTTTTCAGGGAAGCAATATGATTACAATCTGGTAGAGTGAGGGAAACTGGTGGGTGGTTATACTTGATTGGTTCATCTGAATGAAATAAAATTACACTTTCTAATAGGGAATTTGATGCCAAAAGTCAACATACCAAGTAATCATTTCAACAAGTTCTTCCATGGTCCCAAATCCACCAGGAAGGGCAATAAATGCATCAGCCTGTATTAATACAAAACAACATATTCTGTGTATATAATGACAAATTGGAATTTAATCAGAGTTGATTTCATGAGGGGCATTCGTCATTTAATTGATTCACCCTAATGATATTTGTTTGCTTTTTGCTATGGTTCCTTGTGAAGTGTTTCTTCCCCTTTTACTTGCACCCATTCTACAGGAATGTGCATAATGCTCCGGAGTCTTCTGCCATCTTGGGGTGTTTTCTTAGAACACTAGCATAGGCAGTGCTGAGGAAAGGGGGGTCAGGGGGGTCACTGACCCGGGGCCCATGCTAATAACTTAGTCAAAAGTTGATAAGTAGCAATTCAGCCATTGTCAAAACCTTTCAATAATAGAAACAATTATCGCAAAAGCCTTGGAAATAAAGTAAAGTAGAAGCAGCAATAGTATTAACCCCATTTATGTAACTCTAACAGAGCTAATAGCTTTCGGTGATTGTCTAGATATTAACAAAACAATTTTCAAGATTTTGTATCTGTAAAAAGGTTATTATGGAGCTATAGTCAAGTTTTTCGGCAATTTCAGTTTCCATGTACATTGAAACCAGTGAGCTATGCCTGTTTTGGTCAATGGTAAAGCAAAGATAATACTTTATGAATTTGAGCTTACTGGACGATATTTCGCCTGATGCAACACTAGAAGGCAAAGTCAGAAACAAACTTAATACAATGAAAAGATTGGGAAATAAGCGTTGCAAATTCAAATGCTTAAGCTTGTTCACACGTAAAACTGAACTGATAGTCTGAAGTCCTTTGCGTGGAGGGTACAACCTGAAGGGGCCAGTTATAGACATGCCTGGGAGAGACAATGTGCCTGAAGGATTTTTTAACTTTGAATTTTAGGACATCTTCTTTGGCTCTACTAACCGCCAAGAGCCCTAATAACCAGTAAATTCAGTTGTTTAATCAATTCTTCATACTACAATCATACTGTTATTTCTAGTCACTTGCAGTCTTGGATGTATAAGATAGCAAGAAAAAATGTTAAAATAAAGTTCATGCAAAGCTAAAACTAAGCAAATTCCACTCATTCGATGTTCTCAAGAAGAAATCGTTATAAAAACTAGAGATTGACTACATTCAAGGGGTACTCATCGAATGTGAAAAAGCAGGAGCTGTAGTGGGCCAAGTTCTCTTTACGGTTGCCTTCACGTGGCTTTTCATAATTTTTCCTTATAGTTTAATCTAATATAGTTACTTCGTCTTGCATCAAAAACATAATATCTAACAATTTTTAGCATTGTTTATTGGCGCCATATTGAATTAAAAAGTGGCCAGAAACAATTATGAGAGGACATTATGAGAGATCGGTTACTTGCTTCTCTCAAGTATACACCAACTCGACTTACCGCCTCGTTTAGGAAATTGCTCCAAACTTCGGTATGTACGACATTTGTATGCTCAGATTCGGCTTTATCGTCATAATTTTAGGCTGGATACAATTCTTTCATGTTGTTTTGTTTTATGTGTTTATTTGTGTTTATTTGTATTTTATGTGCTTGTATTTTAGATTTAACGCAGAAATGAGGCTGTAAGTCGAATTGGTGTGTTACGTGCTTCGTCTATTTTGTTTAAAATAAGAATAACTTCGCGGGAAAGATGTCTAGCCTCAGATAAAAAAAATTGAAAAATGAACAACATCTGTTTAGAGATTTAAAGATTTAGAGGGCAGATTTTATCAGCAAATCAATCCTGCAACTCAAATGGTTTACAAAACTGTTGTTTAGTGGTTTTAGAAAGAATTCATAGTATAAAGATGTGGAACAATTAATGTAGATAAAAACACTTTTATGATGCCATTTGATGTTCTCGTCTATTTTGTTGAGATATTATAAACCAAAACTATTTGCCGTAGATTCTATGCTATTGGCATTTTCACTAATCGTGAAGTATGAAAGACCACCTCTTCTTTTAAGCGCCTTCTTTGAGAAAATGCCTCAAAAAGTTTGAAAATTTTAAAAGAGCAACCCAGACGTGATATGGTATCTTAACAGCTCTACATATCAAAAGTCACTTGAGTCAATGCTGTTATCAAATAGCCAATTCTAACACAACATTAAAAGATGTTTTCAGTTATTTTGTTATTTCATATTTCATACTGGGAACCAAAGTTATTTCATATTTCAAAACCATAAAATTATATTTTCTCCCCGAAAACTTTAATTATTTTATATTTCAATTTTCCTATATAGGCCCTCTTTTGCTATCACGGCCGCGTCTTCGCGCTTAATTTCATTGCGGATTGCAGCATTTTGTTAATTTTTGCACGGTTTTGCGGCTTTTGGTCTCCCTATAATAGGCCCCTTTTAAATGACCAAAGAAGTAATAGCCACCATCGCAATTTCAGCAACCAAAATAGCCGCAATTTTAGCAACCATCGTCTCAAAAATTTTCCTCGGACCACTTGCTTTCTATCTTTCGTTTTGACCCGGGGCCTATAAATCCTCTCCGCGGCCCTGAGCAAAGGGTCAGTAGTTTCATAGCATTTCTATTACATTGGTTGAACAAGAGGTATTTATGGGCTTGAAATAGCAGCATGGAGTCTCACTTTGCTTGGTGAAGCCTCTCATTTCAAGAAGGGTGTTCCTTTCCTTATTTGATTTGTTTTTTTCTGCATTAATCATTTTTGGCAGTTTTAGTTTCTTTTTCCAGCATCAAGAAAATTTCTCATACCTTAAGGAATCTTTTGTGTTATTGATGATTTG